CTCACGCACAGAAAATGAGGGATCCAGTGAAGACAGAAGGAGGGCTGTGCCATGCCATGCACTGTGCTCTCATGTCTACAACTCTCTCCAACCCCTGCTCCTAGCACTGAACTCCTCACCAAAGGCAGTACCGAAGTCCCTCCAGAAGGATCTCCTTCTCTTTCAGTAGGTCAGTGTCATCCAAGATGCTGCCAACTCAAAGGTAATTCCTGTGATACACATTAAAATTAACTTTATCACTGCTTTTTTGTTAATCTAGATGAATTTCCTAATCCACTTCACTGAGAAACAAAAAAGGAGGGTCAACACTGGGGAAAAATACATCATCCAGGACTGGGGCCAGACCACTTCTTTCAGCAGCATCCCTGGCTTAAAAAGACTGTGAGCCTATGGCAACAGCACACGCCTTCAACAGCTCTGAGACACATATTATCGCCATTTTATAAGTATCAGGCTGGAAGTATTTTCATATTATCTAAGTGGTAAAACTCCCATCACCTTCTATAAGAGCAAGACTGGACCAAATGTTGTTGATAGTTAAAAAAAAAAACACCCCACGACTCAAACAGAAAAACTAGGAAAAAGTCTGCCAATACATCATCCTCATATTTCTATTATTTCAGTTTCACTGCAACAAACAGTACATAGAAACCAAAGAGTGTTCCTTTTTTAAGGACACATTTCAGGCAGGCTGCGTTGTGGAGTTTTCTCTACTTGTCAGTACTTCTTTAAAATGAAAGGGCAGGGTCACCCATCAGGGAAAAAAAAGTGCATTTTAAAACACATGCAAAGAATATGAATTCTTTGATACTTTATGGTCAAACATCTGCTAAACTACTACTCTCCTTCAATTATGGGATTCTCAAAGCAACCATTATATCTATTTTCCTCAGAATTTGCGGGATATAATCAGTGCTACCAGAAATCAACAGTCTTTCTATATATATCTGTATGTTTTGCCAATGTTGAAACACTGGAAATGAGACAAGGACATTGACTAAATATGGTAAACCTCCAGTCTGTCAGCTCCCTGAACTGAGCACTTTCTAACATTCAATCCTGTTACCTAGGAAGCCATTGCTTTGAGGTGGTGATCTTTTTCAATCTCTGCTGACTTCTGGAAATCCAGGTCACTCTGCATTTCATGTTTCTCCTCTCCCTGTGGCTAAGACAGGCACGACAGTTACTCCCTCCTTGTAAGGAGATCAAAGGAAGTGAAAACTTTCTCTTTGACCCAACACCTTCAAATGTTGGAATACACTGAAAGGGAAAATGTGTTTTTTCCACTCTTCAATAAAAAAAAACCCTAACCTTTTCTGTGCTGCCCCTTTTTGCTGTGTAAATCAGACTGAATCTGGAAACTTGACATTATGGCATGTTGACCAGTCCTGAAGAAGAAAATAGGGAAATGTGGATTCTATCCTCAAGATGACAAGGTACCGAAAACCCACCTGAACATCATCAGAACTGTTCCAACCTCCAGTGAGCCAACCCGCTCTATGTCAAACTCATATCTGAGCCAAAGTGGGCAAATCCCAGCAAATCTAATAAACGAACAAAGCTCTGTCCACATCCCATAAGGCTTTCAACCCCATAGGCATGGGTTAGATGGAAGATCTGCAGGAAGTGACGCTCCTTGAATCCTGGGGTGAATACCAGCTAGGCCTCCACAGCTAAAACACTGCTACTATTCAGGGCTTCCTGTTCCTGCCCCAAATGACTGTGGATTTTTTCCATGCACTCACATGGTGCATGCCGAAATGGAAAGTGACCAGCCTCAGTGTGTGCTCTGGCCATTGGGTTACTCTTAGGAAACACTGGATTGAATTTCCATGGACAGAAGAAAAAATAAATCCTGAATTTCCAACATGCAAAGCCAGGTTTCTAACTGCAGTTAGGCTATTGCCATGTTAATAAAAAGCCTTTCAGAGCAATGGCTCAGGGAGCTGAGCTTCCACCAGAGCTCTGAGGGCACTGGGGGCAACTGAGTTCAGCACGAAGCACCAAGCACATCCAGAGAGAAGCAAAGTTTTAAGTTTCTGCCAATGCTTCCTACTTTCTTAGCTCACTGGATCTCAAGTTTGGAGGTACATACTGGGAAGGGATGAATACAGGACATAACTGAGAGAATGAGAAAGCAAGAAACAGTCTCCTGTACCTCCTGCTGGGCTGGGGGAGTTTTAACCCCTCATTTTAACCCCATCCCCAGACCTTAAAAGACAAGAAGTGTAGCCAGTGCTGTCCTCTAGCTCTAGGCAGGCATCAGTAGTGTCAAGGAATGGATCTATCAGGGCTCTACAGAGACAGTGGTTTGTAAACTGAGGGGTTCAAAATGTATCCTGACACAAACACTGATTTTAAAGCACACAATAACTACCAAGCTAATACCAAACACCTTCAGGGATCACAGTCCACTTTAGAGGCAGACCTGTAGGGTGTTTCTGCCTCTGGGTAGAACCTAGGTACCCAATGGCCAGATCATGGAGCCAACATCTGAAAGCCAGTCCTCAGCCTTTAACGCATCCCTCTGGCAATGCTTGGCATGGCAGTGGTTGATCTCCCTGGTTTGATCCTGTGCAGCAACAGCAGTGCAATGCCGGGAGCATCAAGCACCTTGTACTGAGCTGCATTATTTGGATTACAGGATGACTCAGGCTCCCACAGCTTCTTGGCAAGAACAAGACAAATCAGAACTGCTGATATTCCCTCACTGAGGAAAATTGTTCAGATATTTCCGATGTGATTTAGGGCAGCTGTCTATCCCTGAGAAAATCAGGAACAGGGCACGGTGACAATCGCTGCTTAAAATGGAGGGAGTGGATCTGGGAATAAATTTCTCTGAAGTGATGAGGCAGTGGTTTTAATAATCTAACCACACAATTTTTATTCCATGTGAGTTTTAGGACAGGCACTTTTCTGAGCAGCACACCTTGCATTTCTCTTGCCCAGAGTGGCTGGTGACAAGCAGCTCTCACCAGGCATTTCCGTCAGCCAGGCGGCCGGTCCAGCAACCAGAAGAACAAGAGCCAAGAGCTCACCAGGGACCAGCTACCCCACATAACCTCCTCCAGCACAAAAACCTGTCACAGCTTGCACAGAGCAAGATGAGACCAACAGAAATCATAACAGCCACGAACAGTGGGATAGATTTTAAGTCAGAAGGTAAGTAATTTAATCAAAATGATCCCACCAAGTGTGAGAAACTGTCTGCTCTTCTGTGAGAGACCTCATTGCCATGCAGTCTCCTAGCACTAACACATACACCTTCAGAAACACAGCAGATCTCAGAAGAAAATAAAAAGGTGAGGAAGAACAATCTGGCTTTTTTGAACATTACTCAGTATAAACCAGCACCAGATAATACAATCTTATTTTCCAAGACATCACCAGTCACAGGCACTAACCCGATCATCCAGTCATCAGTATAACAAGATCTTTACATACGAAAAAGGACACAGTAAGCCTCTGTAACCATTTTTAAACACGTAATTTCAGTACCTCTCTTGATGAAAAAAGGGAAACATAGGAGTAAAACCAGGCAAGTGCAAATAACTACACAGCTAAGGAAGGGAAGCGAAAACCAGACTTCTCAGGATGTGAAGATGTTCGCCAAGATTAAATTGCTGGTTCACTTTGTAGGTTCAGTAACACTTGCTCAAAACAAAAAATGCCATTTTAATTTTAGTTTCCTTTTTAAGAATCTTGGAATAGGACTATAAAGGATACAAAACAAGTTGTAGGTTTAACCTTTGCTGTAAATATTCTCCTATCAAAGCACTAAGCCTTAGACATATCATGGGATAAACAGGTATTATCAATGGTGTTAGTTGTTTTGCATTTTAGGCATGTGTTTACCTCAACATGACAGAAATACCTCAGATAACATTTACAGCAGTTTCCCAAACCACGTAAGATTTATTCCAAACATAGCTTAAATTACCCAGTCGTACTTTGTTGTGTTTTGAAGGTCTACATATTTTTTCTAAGCAAACAAGCTTTTATACATTATTTGTTTCATTTCAAACAGAAAGCTCACTGCCACAAAAATTTACAATTCATAAAAAAAGTATCATGTTATCTTTTATTTCCTAAACTAAATTTATTTTCTCATAAAGGAATAAGAATGCTTTTGAAGTGGTCTAGGAATAGGTCTATTGTTATTTATGGGGAGCAGTCACAGGAGGAGGTTGTCATCCAGCCTTTAAATAGCAATCCTGAGAAAGCCCCATAGCAGTACATACAAAAAGAGAATCTTAGAAATAATTTCATTTGCAAGCAAGCTAAATATTTTGGGGCTCAAAACACCTGAATATTGCTTAGCCCAGCTAACGATCATTCTTGCTCCCAAAGTAACACATCATATGTGATACACAAAAAGGCAACACACAGTTCAGTAACAGATGAGCCAAAGGGAGTTCCAAGGTGAGCCTGAGACAGTGTGTGGAGAGGAAGAGGGACAAGGTGGGGAAAAGCATGGACAGACAGACAACAATGACCACGCTTAGCGAGGGGCTGGCACTTTCCAGGCTCAGCACAAGATTCTTCTCTTCCTGCTGTCTTGTTTGTTGCCAGAGTTAAGTGCTGAGCTTGGCAGGACAGGGCACGGCAAGAAGAGCAGAAATCACATGTTAGCTCAACACCTCATGGAGAACTTATCTGGCCAAAATGAAAAAGAAGGGCTGGAAAAACCCTGGTCACAAGAACAGGTTCCCAACTTCTGCAAATGAGGTTGAGCAGTGTTAAACAAAAGGGTATAGATTTAATGGAGAATTCAGGAATCAACTCTCATTCTACAATCTGTTCAACCAAACTGAATTAAACCAAAGTGCATCATTTACCACCATGGCATGCAGAAAAGATACTTAAAAAATAGTATATTGTCTTGACAGGACTATTATAGCAGGAAGAAGACTTCAGTTTGTCCAACGAGAAAAAAGTTTTTGTATAAGACAGTCTGGTGTACAAAGCAAGTGATAGTAAATCCCAAAAGGAAAAGTTACCTTCCAGAGGAGTTGCAACACTGTTCCCAAGTCCCAAAATAGCAATGCTGTGATTCCTTGGTTCCAGCATCACTGCAAACTCTTCTCCTCTTTCCCAGTGCGGGACTTTCAGAGGCTCCAGATGCACATTTTCCAGCCCGTCTTTCTGCAGGGCACTGAACATATACTTGATGGCGGCATCTAGGTTTTTTGAACCGCTGAGTCTAGGACCTATGGCATCAGCAAAAACTGCTAATCTTTCATAGGATCTGTTCTGAGCTTTTCCATGAACAGCAAGATCAATAATAGCTTTAGCTATATCAGTATAGCCAGCTATTTCATTTTCAGTGTCTTCAAATGTCTTCTGGTAACTGTCATCTCTTCCCAAAGATTTCCCAGCATACTGTGGTAATAAATTAGTGAAAAATATTAAGAATACACACTTCATTTTTTCTCTTTTTTCTTTTCCACACATGGCCTGTTGGAGAGACGAAAAAAAAAAGGAATATTCAAAATCCAATAATCATACAGCTATCAGCAATACTCTTTTTTGTTATTTGGATTGGCAGACAGACCAAAACGAAAATAAATCCATTTATCATAAAAATGCTTTGATCAGAACTGGCAGGAAAGTAAACTCAACTTGGAGACACAATTATTGAAAGCAAATGAAAAAGATACTTAGACAACTGGACACAACCTTTGTTGTGGTCATCAGAAACATCCTTGGAATGCCACATCTCTTTAAATAATCACATCCTGCACTGAATCAAAACCCAAGGCTTCTCCCATTCAGGAGGAGCCTTGCATCTCCATCTCCTTTCTGTTAGGAGCAGGGTTTGCCAGAAGTGCCAAATCAAATGTCTTCACACAAAACATCTGGACAAAAACATTTCTTAAACCATTCATGAATAAAAGTGCTTCTTAATCTCTATCTCTGTAATCAGGAAAGTACTTTCTATTGCACTAGAAAGATGTCAGAGCAATTTAGATCCAATGCCCCCAGCAAGCCAGCATGCATTTCTTCATTGCACAAATCCATGACTACCAGAGAAACACAATTTCTTATTAACTGGTGTATCTCTTAAGGACTGACTTCAGCAGCACTGTAAAGAGGTGCAGCGCCAGGAGTGCTGTTCCTGCATTGAATAATAAGAGTTATCTTGTTAACACTTTACACTTCACCCATCTTACTGTTAAAAGTTCTCATTTTAAAGATCTATCACATTTTCAATCCCATAAGAATGACAGTTTGTCTATACTATTAATTGAACTGACAGAAAAATCTCTGGAATCCATTGGAGCAGTTGCAAAGCTCTTTTAGAACATAGGAAGTATTATTATCCAAACCCAAAATATAAAAGTCTTCAGTGATAAACACAAAAGGAAATGTAATTGTTTCATTTGCCTTTGAATTCAAATCAGGTTGCAATTTGAATGATAAAATTAGCAATAAGAAATAAGGCCTTTATATCAGCTCTATAGCTGCAGCTATTATGTGACTTATAAAAACAGTAGTTAGTTACAGCCAAATGCAGTGACAATTACAACTAGCCCAAAAAGATTTTGATTCAGCACCTTTGCCATTTTCATGGACTTCCATACAAATACCAGTATTTTTGAAAAAGAATGTAATTTGCCTCAAAGAATAGCAACACTAAAGGCAAATGTTACACTACAAAATATGGGGGTTTTTGGAAGCAATTTTTCTACAATCAGCAAAGGACTAATTAGTTGGCTAATACGGATAAAATAGGGGTAAATCAGACCTGCATGGCAGAAGTATTACTAAAAGCTTTTGCTGTTAAGATTTCCATGTTATACTTTTTCCCCTGATTGTATTTATTAAGTATTTCTGGAGAGTTAAACTCTCCATTTTATAATCACTGACCTGAGGGATCATGACAATATACTCACCTTGTGGTTTTGGTACATGATGTTATATTCATACAGAGAGACAATACAAAGGTGAGGGGAGGCAACGAGTGTGTGTGTACATATATACACATGTATTTGCATATATTATATCCACATATTATATTCACAAGCAAAATACAAAAAATCGTCCTTTATTTTGCACACTACAGGAGCTTTAATTGAGCATTAATTCTCAGTCACTTTATGGAGTACACAAATTTCACAATAGTCAAATAGCTTTGAAGATCATAATGCCAGAAGGGACCAGAGTATTTACCTCAAACGACTGCCACAAAACACTGATTGCAGGATATTCCTGAATTAACTCCCACCACCAGAAGCCACACAGCAAACCAGCAGTTGAGCCAATTCCTGAGAGAGTAAAGGTGAGGTCACACCAGTTTTGTGCCTCTGGGAGCAAATGCCACAGTCGCATTCAAAGCTTCTGCAGGCTCCATTCTGAATGAGCTAAGCTAAGAAACCATCTTTCCAACTATGTTTGTTACAATGAACCACAAATAGATGAACTCATTTTCTCAAGATGTTCACTCTGGACCACTTTCCAGCATTTGCTAAAAATAAATAAATAAAAATAAACCTTTGAAATAATGAGGTTACATTAACAGACAACGAATTCTGACATCACATCTAATCTATATCTTGTCCCACTTGGTTCTTGAGCTTGGAGTAGGTGATGCTTGAATATTAACAAGTTTTCTTCGGATTTTCTTCCCTCTTTCAGGGTCTTATCCCACAGGACTTTTACCAAGCAGATCTTTGAAGAAGTCAAAGTCTTCTCTTCTGAAGTCCAGCACTGTGATCTTGCTTTTTGCCCTGCTCTTGGGAACCTGAACTCTATCATCTCATGGTCACTGCAGCAAAGGCTGCCTTTGACCTTCATACCACAACCAGCCCTTCCTTGCCTATATGAGGTCCAGAAGAACACCTCTCCTTGCTGGCTTCTCTATTACCTGCACCAGGAACCTCCTGGATTGCTTATAACCTGCTGTGCTGACCCTCCAGCAGATACTGGGATGGTTAAACTCCACCATGAGCATCAGGGCCTGTGAACGAGAAGCTACTTCTAGCTGTCAAGGCCTCGTCTACTTGTTTTTCCTGATCAGGAGGCCTACAGCAGACAGCTCCTACAGTGTCACCCATATTGGTCTGCTCTTTAATCCTTATCCATAAGCTCTCAGTCGGCTCATTCTCCATCCCCAGGCAGAACTCCAAGAACTCCAGCTGTCCTCTCACATAAAGGGCAACTCCATCTCCTTCTTTTTTCCCCCTGTTTGTCCTTCCAAAGAGCACGTACCCATCCATTGCAGCACTTCAGTCATGTGAGCTATCCCTCCACATCTCTATGATCCTAACAAGATCACAGCCCTGCAACTGCACACAGATCTCTAACTCTTCGTATTTATTCCCCTATGTTGCATATATTAGTGTACAGGCACTTAGAAGCATGGATTTGTCAATGGGAACAGATGAGGCAACCCACTGCATTTTTGTGAGAGCTGTCTGATCAGTTCCCAAGCAGGAAGGATGACCTGTCAGGCATGCATTCATAAGACGCCATCTGAAATGCTAGCTGTGCAATGCAGAATTAAGACACATTCTAGGATCCATAATGCATCAGAAGAAAAACAAACCCAAACAAACAAAAAAACCGAAACTCCCAAAAAACAACACATACAAACTTTTTGGAGTCACTAAGCCTAGTTCATATGATAGCCGGCATAAACCGACAGCCTTTCATAGGCCTTTATAGGTCTTTTCATAAACAGCAAGTTAAACAATAGCTTTAGAAATAAAAGAATATTAAGCTATTCTTAACTATTCAAATGTCTCCTAAATTTGGGAACAAAGCAGTAAGAAATTCTTCTCAGTGAAGTGTCATTTTCCCAAAAGAACAACAAAAATCACCTGTGATTTCATCTGTGAATGACAAATCTATCACACAGACTTCCTCTCTCTCTGCGAGACAGGGCAAAGGTCTTACACAACCAGGAGCAGAAGACTCGGGTTATCTCAGGACATGGACAGGGAACTGTAAAGTGCCTTTTATAGCCTGAGTTAGTGTTTATTTGTGGTTACTCTACATAGAGAGTACTGGTGTATTTATATTGCAAAGCTCTGTACTTTCCCCATGTTTCTACCCTTTGGACCAGCTAATTACATGCTCATAGACATCCTCTGCTAGAGACATCAGTAATTTTCTCAAGATGACCACGCTCATCCCCTGATTTTTGCCAAGATCATCATTCACAAAGAAGCAAGCAAGATAATCTGATTTCTGCCATAAGACAAATTCTTGCTGAGTGAAGTAAGACAACAACTTCCTAGGGTTAGTTTCAAAAACTTAAATTTTGAGGTTTTGTTTGTTTAAGGGTTTGTGAAATCTACCAAAGCTGATACATTTAGCTGTTAAACAGAAAGCACCGGGGGATTGTTCAATTTGCATTGGCAACCTCAAAGAGCTCCCAGCTATCGACTTCATGCATTTTTTTCAACGGAGAAATGAAACCACAGTTATCACATTTCCCTTAACCAAGAAATGCTTCCTTCGCCCTTTCTGGCCTCATTCAAAACCAGCAACATCCTCACTCCAGAGGCTGCCCCAGAGGAGCTGCATTCAAGAGCCGCACTTTTTCCAGGAATTTCCCACTGAACACTGAGAACAGACATATTTCCACAGCTTTTATGGATGTAATGCATTCCCACCATGCACAGTGTTTCACTATCAGCCACTATGTTGTATGAGGAGCATAACTAATTTCAAACCCTGGGCAAGGACACAAGAATGGGAATGTAATTTATTGTGCTTTCCTTGAATAGTCCAGCATAATCTGGCTAAAAGCTAGTAGTGTTCAGAAATAATTCCCTGCTAGGCAAAGTAACATCATACTCACTTGGACTGCAATACAGGAATCACTCCACTGCTAATTCAGGGAAAGAATAGCACATCTCTTGTCCTAGTCTCTGCAACATCAAGTTTATCACCCCAGTGAAATGGGACTGATTCCTGCACATCTCACTGGTTAGACTTAGCAAATGAGCAATGCAGTGCAAGCCAAATAAAAAAATAACAGTACATTCACAATCATTTGATGCATTTAATTATTCACTGAATTTCTTCAGTGCAAGTTTAGTGCAAAATAAGATAGGAAAACACACACTTTCAGGAAGTACAGTCCTTTCTCCCAGCCCTATTAATGCGTTTCATATCATGGCTCTTTAGTACAAAATAACAGTTTTCTAAACTAGGTATAATAATCTGGAATACCCTTTTCCCTTCCATGGGGCAAGAGTGCTCATCAGAAGGTTACAGTCCCTCTATTTTATTTCTCTGACCCTATAAATCTTACACACATGGAAACGACACGGAATGGTCCTGTTTCAGCCTTGCCTGCACCCTCATGTTTAGGATATTCTGCTCATAAGTGAAGCCCTCAATACCATGTAAAAACCTACAACTCTCACTTTTCACTTTGTCAAAGGCCCTTCTAATCATTGACATATTAAGCAAAAAGTGAGAGCCGTCATTGATCCTCTTC